CAACTCCTGCTTAGAAGGGCTAAAGGCAACCCCTCTCTACCAACAGTGCCAGAAGAGCCTCTGAAATGGGGCTCTCTGAAACCAAGAGGGCGGCTTCACAATATTCCAACGACTGGCAGCAACACGCTTCAAGAGGCCAAGTGCCAGGCAGCTCTGCTAGACACCCATGGGTGTGGCAGCATTTCAGGCCCTCGACTTGGTTTTCAACAGAAGTGATGATACCCTCCAAAAAGTATCAGTCAGACTTGGGGCCAGGAGTTTCCCAATGAGCCATTTTAGGAACAATATCCAGCTTGGAGTCACAAGGGGCTCTGTGATGGTGGCATCGAGAGCTGGCTACGGGAACAAAGGGACATTGACTCATCCCCTCTCCTAGGACCTCCTAATTGCTCTTCCTTTCCTCTTCTTTGATCTTGGCCTCTCTCGCTCCCTCCCAGCTTCCAGGCTGCTCTGTAATCACAAGAGCGGGCCAGGAACCACCAACCGGCTATTCCGTCGGGTGACATTGTCAGTAAAGGCCAGTGGTTTTCAGGCAAAGAGCAGAGGATTGTTCTGTGAAGTTATGAAGCTTGTCAGGGAATGTGGAGCTGAAAAACATGGCGCAGGCTGGCCTTAACTCTCTCATCGCTTAATTCGATGCTGGCTTACCTGGAAACGTTCGGTCGCTGGGGCCGGAGCTGCCGGTCCAGGTGCTTTTGAGCCACTTGGCACGGTCGTACATCCAACCACAGGGCTCCTCGGGGAAATCAAAGTTGCAGTTGAATCCTGAAGGGAGCTGCAAATCTTTGTCTAAAAGGGAAAACAAAAACCCCGAAATAAGTCAAATGAAATGGTTTCGGAGAACAGCCACAGTGGTGCTATTTAAACGGCTGGCAGGGCCTAAGGGGAGAGCAGAGAAAGAAATGGCTCCCTTTGCTTATTCACTTAACTCATCTTGGTGATTGTTGGCTTTCGGGTCAGCCTTTGGTCTCATCCTTCCCAGGCATGAAAGCCAAGGCTGCCAGTGGTTCCCATAGTAAGCAATTATAAATGAGGCCACCAAATGGCTTCAGGCTCTAATCGGCCTCTTCTGTCCACCCTGGAGAGCGGACAAATGTGGAAATTGCTGTTCCCTAAAATGCCAGAGAAGAATGTCTCCCCATTGCCTCAGTGGAAGGCAGGATCCTGCCAACCTGGCTGTCAGCAGTGATGGACAGCCCGTTGGCATCCGGAGAGGTGAAATTCCAAATACGGGATGTGCTGGCCAGGGAGGAGAAAGTGATCTTGGAAACAAGGGAGGCTTCTTTGCCCTTCACCTCCCTGTGCCAGGCCTCTTGTTTCAGAAGACCGGGTCAGTTCAGCATCCCTGGGGGAGGCACTGCCAGGCGGGAGATTTGGCATGTTAGGGCAAATCGAGGGGACCAGACCAGCCTGCCGCCCAGCTCAGCGCTGACCAGGAGGAAAAATAATTTTACATGGCTCGGAGTGCCTGAACGCCAGGATTCCAGGGACAGCAGAGAATGGAAATCTAAGAGACCACACAATGGCTCGCCCCCGTCTGCTCGGCTGTTCACCTCTAAGCGAATAGACCGAACCCAAAGGGTTTCTTTGGAGGTTCCACTCAGCTCTAAAAATCCAGTCTGAGCTGGTGCCGAACACGTGACTAAGTCGGGGGTGGGGTGGAGGTGGGGAAAGAGAGGAAACGGGAACCCAGATTTGGACTCTTGTCCTCAGTAGCTGCGGAGACAGCGGAAAAGTGTTGGCTAACGCTGGTAGCAGGGAGGAAGTGGGGTCTTTGGCCTTTTCACTTCCTCTCTCAGGGTTCCCAGAGAGGAATTTCCATGGGGAAGGCAGGTTAGGAAGTCTAAAGGGAACAGTCGACTGGTGGAAACACATTGCTCCCGCCCCGGGGGGCGAGGACGGATCACCTCTGAGGGGAAGGGCACTGCTGGCCTTGGCGGCAGGTTGCCACCGGGTCCTGCTCGTGTCTCCCCTTCCCAAGAAAGAATATTTAATACTTGCCCACCCTTGGCCAAAGTCAGCTTGAGCTGAGAAGAAACACATGGAATCTATTACTGAAGCATCAACCTGTGGCTTGGAAAAGTCAGCCCTTAGCCCTCCCCATCCCCTTTTCCCGAACTTCTAAGTTTCTATTTTTCCGTTCAAAAATATGGAGTAATTCAATATACCATAATTCCTCTCTAATGTTTATACGCATACTGTATCTCAGGAACCCAATTCCACAAAGAGATCTTTTGCAAAAAAAAAAAAAAAAAAAAAAAAGCGAGAGGGGAGGAACCACCAAAGAAACCCCAAATGAAACAAACCACTATAAACGGGAAAATTATATTAAACTTCTGAAAGTCCTTACATTTTCCTTTGGATTGCCATTTAGACAAAACCCCCTCCTTTTGCCCTGCACCAAGCAAACCCTGCTAATCCAACACCACACAGTAAATGAGAGCGCTCCACTTTTGGCTCTCAAACTCTTTCAAACATGTCTTGGAAGATTCTCCAAGTCTCTTTCTCCTCTTCATGAAACAAAAACAAGTTCATTAAAATGTCAGAATTCTGTATTCAACTATCCCTGACCAAGAGTGTCCCCCGGCCCACGCAATGTACAAAAGCACATTCCTGAGAGCATATGCATTAAATTATCAATTTGCAGTCACACAACTTCAGCATTTATTTTTGGCTCTCCTGTAGCCATGTTGGGGAGACGTCCACTGCATCCTTGCAGTTTCTCATACTGTCAAGTGTCTAAGGGTGTGGATCCACAGATTTCACCATCTACCTACTGACTCAGTGCTACGTCTTTATGTCTCCATCACTTCCCAAGCCTCTTCACCAATCTTCCCTCATTTGGTTTAATGAACGTTTAATAATGATCAGTAATTTACTGTAAATTGAGGCCGTCAAGCATTAAATTCTAGCCCCAAATGCCAGGTGTTCCAAACTTTGTGGTTTGTTAGGAATGTCTTCATATTCTGTGACCTTAGCAGGAAGATTGAAACTGTGATGTCCTTTTGGGCTCTTCCAACTATTGTTTTTCTCTAACTTGGATATGCTTAGAAGATAAAATGAAAATGCAGTCGATTTCCCATGTGAAGAGACTAATCGCAAATAGGAGGCCCTGAGTTTTGAGGAATGGGTGAGGTGCCTTTTCGTACCTCTGTCTTTGTCACTGACCTGCGCTCGCCTCGTGGAGGATGTGGTGCCCTATCTTATAATCCTAATTGTCAGGCTTTCTCAACCGGTGGTGGTAAAAGACACAGGGCAACGCCATTAAATCATGGTTAACTGCTGAGTTAACCTATCGCGCTCCACTGACCAAGTCACGCAGATGACAGCCAGATCTTCCCTTGACTGTGCCCCGGAGACAAGCTTAGCAGGAGGGGCGATCACAATTGTGGATTCTAAAGATACGAAGTGAGGGCTAGGAAACGAGACTACTCGAGGGAGGCATCCTCCTTGGATGGCCCCTTATCTCAGCTGATGTAGGGCTGTACTGGTTGTGCCAATATCTGAATGCTTCTAGATTGGTTGGAAATAGCCACTGCCCCAAGCCCCTAAGTACCACACTTCCCTGACCTCTGACCTAGGGGACCCCCAGTTCCCGGCCCCAGCCATGGGCCAGCCTCCACTGCGACTGGCCGGCACCCATACCATCCTGGATGAAATACAGCTCTGGCCCCATCCTCACCATCCTCAAAGCTGCAGTTCTCCCCGCACTCCGTGGCCCCCTCGTCAGTGGGGTATGGGGTGGTGGTCTCTTCGCTCTTCACGGTGGGTCCCAGTGTCTCAACTGTTGGCTTTGAGTCTGCAGAAAGGCAAAGGAAGGGGAGTGAACACCACGTGCAGCAGCCTGTGTCAAAACCCAGCAGGAAGATGCCAAATATTAAGTCTCCTCTCCAAGGGTGGGCCTTTCAAGAAGGAAGAAAAAAGGAAATCCAAGATGGACACACACACACCCATGAAGTCACTTCTGTGTGCTGTGATGACGTCAGGACCATGGCCTGCGTTAAGGAGAATGGTCCCAAGCTGTAGAAACAGCCGTAATGGAGGCATGAACACAAACCCACACTCTACTCCACAGCAGAGGCCCTGAGGCCAGCACAAAAGGCCATGCACGCCAGGCAGTAATGAATGTGGGTGACACTGACCACAGGCAGGGCTCAACCATGCTCTGGGTGTTCTGTTTCAGACACAGATGTGGGTGACACACACACATAAGCAATGAAGGACACCCATCAAAAGTGGTTTGAAAAAAATCGGGGTTAATGGAGTGAGCTTCCGTCCTGTGGAAAACACCTGTCTGTGCACAGCCCCTTGGGTGACTGCTGTCGTGTCTCATGCACGTGGAACGGGCCTTCTCTTCTCTGCCTTCTCTGAGTCAGACGGAACCAAAGCTAACCTGACCTGGGGGCCCACCTATTACAAGATAATCAGAGGCACAACGGCTGAAGTCATAGCCAAGCCAGACAGCTTGGGAGGTGCGACCCCAGACATCGTTGCTCGTGTTTGCACAAAACCGGGTGGAAAAGAATATGGGCTCAAAGTGACTCAGGCTCCATTCAGTGGAAATAATTTGGGGCTGTGCCTTAGGTCAAGCAAATTCAAATGCTTCTAGGAGGCTAACTGCTACGGTAAGGGAGGATGGCCTGCTGGGGGCTGGGAGAGTAAAGGCTGGGACAGGAGATGGCAGAGGGGGTCCCGCACACCTGGTTTAAAGGAGGCCACCACGTGACTGGTTCCAGCAGGTTGAGGAACCGAGGCGAGGTGGCCCAGTGTGGCCAGATCTTGCAGAAAGATTTTTTTTTTCCTCGCATGAAACAAACAAACAAACAAAATCTCCAGACCTGTCAATGTTGGCAACTTATTCAAAATACAAGTAGCAGGTAACCAAACGTGGCTGGGCAAATAACCTCAAAGCGTCCTAACTTGTAAGTTCATATTTGTTACTGTGTCACAGAATCTCAAACTCCACTGTAAAGCAAACTATGGTCAGCAAGGCAAGAAGTAATCATTTGAAATACAAACAAATGAACAGGTGAAGCAGCCCTGTCAAATTATTTAGCTGCAGTAACTCAGCCCAGCCCATTACTTCCCCTGTTATCCTTTTGGGGTAGGAATGAAGGGAACAAGGATGAGTCACAGAAATGAATGGAAATTTGACAAGCAGAAAGCCACGTGGGCTGGGAGAGAGGTTCCTGGAAATGTTAGGTAGCTGAGTGGGTGAGCTGGGTGGCAGAGAGATAATGTTAAATCCAGGGGCACAGGGGGCGGGCGAGGCAATGAGAGGGCAGGCCGTGTGAATGAAAGTGAGGAAACGGTAGCCGGCCTCTGTGTCCACTGTGTTTGTACTGGACACTTAGAGCTAACTGCCCATCAAACTACGCTCCCCAGCAATTGAAAACAGATGTCAGAGACTTCAAAGGGAAGGAGGTTGGGTGGAGGGTATGGAGCCCCTACTCTGATCTTCCAAGGAACGGCCAGGAGGACTTTGAAATGAGAAACCTGTTGCTGATCATCACCGGTGTAATTTGGGCCAGCTTGGCGGGGGGCAATAGGAGGAAAAGGCCGATAGCAATTGTCCAGCCAGTCATAAAGCAGGGCCAGCCTGGGAAGAGGCGTGGCACGGAGGACCATGGACAGGGCGGAAGTATGAATCAGCCCTCAGGTAGCTGATCGGCTTCTGGCAAGTGGCTCCTCTCTCTGGGACTCAGTTTCGCTCTCTGTGAAGGAGGCATTGGCCTAGATCGGTGATTTTTTTTTTTCAAACTGTATGTCACCCTTGTCAACAGGTTGTAGATCAATTTCATGAGTTAGGACTAGCGTTTTAAAATAGGGGCTATAATATTTCAGAGTATACTCACGTGGCAAGGATGAGCACCGCTTCGGGAACCTTTTGTTTCAGTCACACTTACTTACCATAACAAGTTTATTAGGTGCCAAGCAGCAGGCTAAGTATTTTATATCCATTATTTTATTGAATCCTCATGATAACCCTGAGGGGGCATAGATATACTATGGTCACCCCCCACCCCCCCGGCTCCTTCAGCTAGGATAACCGAGATCTGCAGAGGCAGGACTTGAACTTGGCGATCTGCCCCCAGAGTCCAGGTGCTTAATGATATACTATATCCCATAAGCACACACGTGTATGTGTGCTTGTGTGTGTGTGTGTGTGTGTGTGTGTATGTGTGTGCACGCATGCTTGTAATTCGAGTGGCTCATGATATAAATTTATTTTAAATTGTGGATGGTGGTCAGAAACGTTGGAAAGCCAGTGGCCTAGAAGCCCTCGGGTCCCCTGCATCTCTAAGCCTCTGATTCTGGCCAGAAGAAGCCAGCCTGTGTCACTGTTGGCGGGCAGTTTTCAGCGCCTGCAAGAGGACGGGTGAGGAACGCTCAGCAGGCTGCAGGGAACCTGGCCTCACTCCGTGATGGGGAGTAAAGTGTCTTCCCACTAAAATATGTTCACTGCGCCTGCCTTCCATTGAAAGGTGAGAAAGGCTAATTTAGGCCCGATTCCCAGCCTTCGTGCCTCAACGGGACACTTCCTCGGCGCCATCATAACGGCACACAGGCAGCACTTTTCTCCCCGGGAGCCAAAAGCACTTCTCCGACATGCTCTTTACTAATCCTCCACGATCCCCTGCTGGGGGAGCTGCTGACAGGTACGGCACATACAGGAAAATGGAGATACCTGGGGCCGGGTTCCTGCCTGCTGCCCCGCCCCGGCCCCACCCAAGCTCCGTTCGGCAGGCAGCGAGCGAGCTCCGACTCCGGCTGGAGCTGGGATCTGTCCCAGCCCTGCCCCGGGGAGGAGGGCGGGGCCTGGAGGGGAGGCGGACCCGACTCGGAAGGATGGATAGGGTGCTTCCCGGGAAACCAGGAGGGTGGCCATGATCAGCGGGCCTCATCTTCGTTCAGGAGACTCGGAGGTGCTCCCAGGGCCTGCGACGCAGGGTAGAGCCCAGCGAGCCTCCTGCGGCACACGGGGAAGAAGTCGGGCTCTCGGCAGCTCCCCTGCAACAGGGTCCCTCGTGAGCAAATAAATGCCTTTTACAGATGTGGCTTCGAAATGAAAATGAAGTCTCTTAGCCACAGACATCTGGAGGCCAGATTCAGACATAAACCGATTACTTTATTATCATGAGCATTTTTTTTTCTTCCCTAAATCAACAGCCACAGCCCTCTGGCCTGAAGAGTCAGGGTCTAATTGAATTTGGGTGGGCAGTGTGTGGTTATGATTTGTTTTTGAGAGACTGGGGTTGGAGGACTGAAATGATCCTTTAAAAATGACAAAGCACATCCCTTGAGGAGCTGTCCTGAGTCCAGAGGCTGCAGTGCCGGTGGTTTGCCCAGGGCAGGCAGGAGGCAGCAGCGTTTTGAACTGATGGGGCTTCACCCCAGGGATGGCTGCCCCTCTGCCGCGTCCCCGTCGTGGTCTGACCTCCTCCCAGGCCATCCTAGGAAGCCGGGGTCATGAGACCATGTGAGTGAGACCCACAGTGGAAAGAGGGCCTTACCTGTCCAGTCACAGCCCAGCACCTCCAGTCGCATCCCAATGCCCGCAGGGGACCACCTCTCAGGGTACACCCGCACGTACTGCGCCAGGACAGGGTCAAACCTCCGGATGTCAGGGGTGTCGTAGTGCATGTTCCCTTCAAACAGCTGCAGGGGAGACAGGTTGATCAGCCCTTCTTAGGTGGGAGCCCTCCTCACTCCTCCTTTCTGCGCCTTCCTCCCCCCTTCCCACCTCACCCCTCACATCCAACCAGCAGGCAGCTTCAGAGTTAATTCATGGTCACTGCCCATTTTGGTCCGTGGGAGCCCCATTCTCAGACCAAGGTTTTTATTCATTTGAGAGGTCCCAGAAACACGGCAAATGGGGAGCAGATGAAAGTGGCAATTGCTGGGTTCTGTTCTCTATCCTGGGAGTGAAACTAAGGACTCAGAATTCGGCTCTGAGTGAGTCTTAAGCTGGATTTGGCTAGAGAGGAGTGAAGGGCATTTAGGCTGTCTTGCCTGTTCTGAAGTTCTCGGTTTACTAGAAGAAGAAGTTCTTTCCCAGATGCTTAAAAGTCTAGATTTAGAAAGTCCCAGCTTGAAAGTCTAGGTTTAGAAAATGCCAGGTCACTGAGAGGCTGAAGGGAAAGTGACCATCCCTTTTCTAGGCTAATGACAATTTCCACTGGTCACACCCTGATAATCTAAGACTGTGTTCCCCCAACCTTGGTTTAGTGGAAGAAATTCTGTCCAAAGAAACCTCACCTAAAGACACACTACATAAAATTGATGACAGTGGGGCTGCCCTGGCTGAAGCCGGGTGGGGGACCCAACCCAGAGCATACCTGTGAACAAGTAACTTAGGGGACTGTTGGTGTGCAGGTGTGCCAGGGGCTGTAGCTGATTAGCATCTAGGAATGAGGCAGAGCCAAATCATTTTGCAGGATGCCCACAATTCCAAAAGGGGGGCACTGTCATGGGGAGGGCAGGCTCTTACCCTGGCTAAGATCATCTCCTTTCCGAGGCCCCCAGAATAGTCAAGAAGAGCCAGGGTGGGGCTTCCCTGGTGGCACAGTGGTTGAGAGTCCGCCTGCCGACGCAGGGGACACGGGTTCGTGCCCTGGTCCGGGAAGACCCCACATGCCGCGGAGCGGCTGGGCCCGTGAGCCATGGCCGCTGAGCCTGCGCGTCCGGAGCCTGTGCTCCTCAATGGGAGAGGCCGCAACAGTGAGAGGCCCACGTACCGGGGGAAAAAAAAAACAAAAAAAGAAGAGCCAGGGTCAGCTGTCCCTGGGGGAGCCAGTGGTCCGACTTCTGCTCCATCCACTGAAGGTTCCAGTTACCAAGCACTGAGCCTTTCCAAGCCGCTGGAATTATGAGCTGGGAGTTTACATCAGCACTGCAAAACCTCCAACCCAGACCTTGCCTCTGCATTAAGAATGGAAAACATTTGCTAAACAGAGACATGTGATACCCCTTCCTTATTAGGGGCCCTGCTCTTCTGAGGAAAATGAGGGGTAACTTAGCAATGAAGGAGATTAACCCGGAGGGGGACAGGGCTGTGATGTCCTCTCCCTTTCCTGGGGCTCCTTGGTGCCCCTCGTTGAGGGCTGACCTTCACTCCTCCGATGGCAGGAGGGTGTGTTACACTGGCCTGCGCTTCTGGCCTGGAGTAGTTTCTTTTGCCTCTTCCCAGCCTCCATGTGAGAGTCAAGAAAGATCTAAGCAGTCAAGCCCAGGAAAATACAAAGGAGTGCAGCAACACTCAGAGAAACACAGTTGTTTTTGGAAGTAATTCACTAGTTTCTATGGTTAAGCCTCCAAAAACCACATCCCCTTTGGATGTCTGGCCAGTTCCAAGGACACTTTATCTGAAACAGGGTAGAAAGAGTGCCCAAGACAGTAGGAAGGCAGTGTTGAGTAGTGGTTAGGCATTTGGGCTCTGGAGTGAGACTTGTGTCTGAATCATGGCTCTACCACAGGTACTGTATGACCCTGGCATGACATCAAGCCTCAGTTTTGTTACCTCTAAAATGGGAGGGACGAAAGGACCTACCTTCTAGAGATGTTGTAAAGGGTAAAATAAGGCATTTAGCAGAGGGCCTGGCACAAAGTAATCTCTCAGTTAATATTTGTTTGACAGGCAGGGGTTGGTGATGATCATCTAGATGGGAAATCAACATCCCCCAAATCAACCTCCCTGTTTGGGGCAAGGTTAGGGAGTCCTCCGGGAACATCCTACCTTCGGCTGCTGGGTCCTGGGGTCCTGGATGTACTCCCAGTCTTTGCCATTTAGGCTGTAGGAGACTTTGAACTTGCGCACAAACGCCCTGGCTTCCACGGCAGTGATGCTATCTCCTCCGCGGGCTCCCTGGATGATGACGCCTTTCACGGTCTTGGGCGCTCCCAGGTCTACCTGGAGCCACTCCTCGCCCGGTTGGGCCTGAGGGATCCGAGGGAACCAGCCTGAGCGGCTGCTGACCAGGCGGGCAGCACTGGGGCTCCAGAGGTACTCGCGGGTGGAGGAAGCAGAGATCTGGGAGTCGGCAATGAGGCCCGAGAGCATCCCCAGCATGTTCGAGCAGGGGGCGTCTGCGGAGAGGGAAGAAGATACAAGAGGTCATGCTGGTACCCTGCTAACTGGAACCACCCCCAATCAGAAGGGAACTGTCAAAGAACCTGACTATCAAACACTTTTAAGTCAGCACTGATTTCTTTGCATTTCAAGGTGGGATAGCACTGTGGTTAAGAGCCCAGCTGGGCACCAGACTGGCTGGATTCACATTTGCATTGTCACTTACTAGTTGCGTGACTTTGGGAAAATAATCGAAGTGCTCTGTGCCTCAGTTTCCCCAGGCCTAAAGGAGGGCTAATAGCAGTACTTACCTCTTGGGGGTTGTTGCATGGATTCTGTTAGTTACAATATAAAAGATCTCAGTGTGGTGCCTGGCATGGCCGAGTGTCTCATGTTGTTAGCCAAGGACTCTCACATCCTTGGTGACACAGTCCCCATTGATCCTCCTAGGGGCAGTGAGTGCAGGGGAGCTCAGCTGAGCCTGGAACTGTTACCTGGGGGATTATTTCTCGAACTAGATGGAACCCTTCCTGGGACCAGATCTTAATTTCACATGTGTTACCACAGCTCTTTACTGCCCTGCATCCTGCCAGCATCCTGGAACATGCTGTTCCCTCTACCCAAAATGCTTTTCCCCTCAGTCACCATCAGACTACCCCTTACTCATCCCCGAGTTTAAGTGTCGCATCCTCAGAAAGGCTGTCCCCAAACTTTCGATCAACACTCTATGAGGTCCCCTCACTCACTCTCAGAGTATCCTGTCCTTTTCCTTCACACATGCATCTTAGTGTATAATTACCCCTGTACTTACATTTGTTTATTATCTATCTTGCCTACCCGCCTGAAAGTTCCAGCATGTCAGAGACCCCATCTGCTGGTTCCCTTCTCTTATTCACTTCCAGCTCCCAATGTGTGGCCTGGCACACAGTGGGCCTTCCATAAGTATTTGTGCAGCGAATGAGTGAGTGGAGCGTGCGTGAAGAAATGGTAGCCAGCAAGGCAGGGTCCAGAGTCAGTGTGCATTCAATACCCATACAGGGAGTTACATGTAAAAGCCAGCCTTCTGTTAAGGTCACGTGGTGCAATCAAGCTGTTTGCAGAGGGCTGGAAGGGGGCGCAGAGCTCCCTGACCTCACAGGAGCCCCACTTCACCTGTGACCCGGCAGCCGAAGAGCTCCAGGCGGAGGGCGATGCCCGAGTGCCAGGTCTGTGGACGGACCCTGACGAAGCGTGTCAGCAGCGGTGAGTGCAGCTTGTTCAGAACCACCTCCGTGGCATCGTTGTTGGCTTGGAAGACCTGTAATATCACACACAAATCCATGTTATAGCAATCCCCGTATGTAGGTGAGCCACGCAGTCTTTGACGGAGAGGGAAACGTCTGTTCAATTTTATTTCCCTTGAGCTTAGAAATAATCAGTGGGTTTGTTGTTTGGTGCTGTTTTAGAAACACCATGAAAAAAATTTAATTTCTCACACTGCTCTAAGTTGAAAACAATACATGGTCTTCACAAAAACTTTTGGAGGGAAGGAAAATTTTGCCTCTGGGCCTGAGGGCCAGCAGAGGAAGGCACCACGAAAGGAAAACACTTTCAGAAGTCGAGAGAGAGAGAGAGAGAGAGAGAGAGAGAGAGAGAGAGAGAGAGAGAGAGAGAGAGAGAGAGACAGAGACAGAGACAGAGACAGAGACAGAGACAGAGACAGAGACAGAGACAGAGACAGAGGAAAAAGAAAGTAGAATATCCTTTAAAAATGGAGCCACAGGGGCTTCCCTGGTGGCGCAGTGCTTGAGAGTCCGCCTGCCGATGCAGGGGACGCGGGTTCGTGCCCCGGTCCTGGAGGATCCCACATGCCGCGGAGCGGCTGGGCCCGTGAGCCATGGCCGCTGAGCCTGCGCGTCCGGAGCCTGTGCTCCGCAACGGGAGAGGCCACAACAGTGAGAGGCCCGCGTACCGCAAAAGAAAAAAACAAACAAACAAACAAACAAAAAATGGAGCAACAATGTCATCTTTTAGGGTTGTGGACCTCTCTCACTAGATTGAACTTGACTTTCCCTTTTCCTCAGGTTTCGGGCCTATAAAAAGATTTCCAGGGTATTTTATAATCAGAAAGTGCTTCACAATTGTTTCTGTTAGTTCCTTAGAGGTCTCCCTGCTCCGTGGAGGGGTGAGAGGGTGGGAGCGCTGTCCACCCCCGGTGCCCCCGTGTCAGTCAACACTTGCTTGGTTCTTTCTGGTCTTTGTTGTAGGGTCAGGGTTGCAGACAGGCCGCTGGAGCCCTGCTCTGGCTTTCTCTCACTGTAGACCCTGCCCTGTAATGAAATCCATCCCTGTCCCCATCTGACCAATGCATCTCTTATGGGAGGAAAGGCTTTCCAGAGTAGCTTCTAATCCAACATGGTAGGAGCAAGTCCTAGCTTACCAGATGGCCCAAATCAATAACTGCCATATGGACCTTGTGCTTTTTTGTGTTCTCCATTAAAAAAGGAGAAAGAGTAGCTGCAACAAGTATATGTAAGTTTCTCTTGGTTGCTCTGGATAAGAGTGAAGGGAAAGACCAACTAACCATCACTTCTAGATCATACCTGTCATAGCTCTAACAACCAAGTGGCTGTAAGTCCACTCACAGGCAGCTCTGCAACAACTAGCAATTTCTCCTGGGTAGGGGGACAAGCTCCTTCAGCTCCTGGCACCTATAACATGCGAGCTGTTTGGGCACTGACAGGCCTGGGATAAGGGGAATGGGGAAAATGGTATACTGGAATCTCATTGAGCCAGACACTGTATAAAAATAATTAGGCCTACAACATTCCGGGAAGTAAGTACTATTATTTCCATTTTATTGATGAAAAAACTGAGGCTCAGAGATGTCTGTCCAGATCTCAAGCCCTTGCCACGTTTTTAGATTTCAGGCTTGTGGTTTTCTCCCTTGACTCTCATCTCGTCTACATCTGCAGCGTTTATGTTGGTGGCTAGGACTCGTGGAGCCCTTAAGGTCCCCAAGCATGGGTGGAATGGAAATAGAGTTGCTGTTCAGTGATGTGCTTGCTCCCAGGGTGTTTATAATCCCAACGTAGAATGATCCGAGTAACAGCAAAGAGCAGCCCAGAAGCTTAGAGCTAATGAACAACGTGGTCCTTGCTTCCTTAGGAACTGTAACCAGGAACTCTGCCATTTGGCAACCTTGAACCTTCTATATTTCCCACTTGCGAAGGTCAAAAGTCAGAGCTGTTAAGAGCATCCCACTGATGGTGGGGGTGAAGGCTCAGAGCCATCATATCTTTGGCCAAATGAGGGGAAGTGGCCTGTTAGAGAGAAACAGAGGGAAGGAGAGGAGGAAACAAGTTTTCCCTGGACCACGGTACTCAGTTGCAACCCCTCGTTCCTGGTGTTGAGTCCACCGATTCCAGGGGAGCTCCCGCGCCAGCCTTGCCACTGCTTGTCCTCCCCTGGGGAGCCTCTGCCCCGGTCCCAGTCCGCCAGTTTCCTCCCCTGCTCCCTGCGGACGGCAGGGAGTACCAAGGCGGGACTGCGTGCCCACCCATCCCTCCCAGCTTCGGTTTGGCTGCTTTCTGCATAGTGATTGAGGACACAGAGGGGCGAGAAGACAAAGCGGAGGAAAAAGGGCCACAAAAGCAGAAGGGAAGAGGGTTAGTTCTGACACCTGGGAGAAGGCCTAAGGGAAGAGAGAGGCGCCTGATGCAGTCCTCTGCTTATTTCGGACGGCTGCTGTGAGCAGTGGCGGGTTCCCCACTGGCCTACTCCCTGAGGATGGTGACGGTGGCTGTGTGTGACCTCCAACAGGAGATGCTAAGGAGTTCGTAAGCAGGGGGGCAGGGGCGGGGGCTTGATTTCCCACGTGAATACACAATTGGAGTGTTGAGTGGATCTGAACTTTAACACAGCTGCTAATCCACAGCGTACACACCACGCTGGTACCGTTTGGAAACACAGCACGTCTCATGTTTTTAATATCCAATTTTATCTTATCTGACCCCTTCATTTCTCAGCCTTGGCAGACAGCACCAAGAAACCTTTCCTCGTCTTCCTCAGTAAGGAAATGACTTTGTCTGTGGACTGCCTTGGGAAGGCTGGCTGCCTGTGGGCACGGGGGGCACACACGTGTGGGTATACACCTGGGGAGGGGCTGGTCTTCCCATGGATGCGTGTGGCCACAGGCTTGGGTGAGCCCCTGGATCTCTGTCTACAATGGCATCAGCCAGAAAGGGAGGCAGGCACGTGGTTTGTGTCCCTGAGGACATCTACCTGGTGCTCAAATTGACCTTCATTCTGCTATTCAGTTTTGCTCACTGTTCTCCCACCCCTGGAACCCGATGACGCCTCTTTCAATGTGACCTCAAATTATCCTTCCTGTTTCCAAGCCCAAGTCCTTCTCGGTGGCTTGTTTTGCTCTTCACCTTGTGCCTGCCTTCCACTCCCTGGACCCTCGGCTGAAGGAATACCACCTTATTTTAATAAACTTTTTGTACACCTCTCACTGGGAGGTGGGTGTAGTGGGAAAAAAAAAGTCCAAACACCACTGAACCAGGAGCCAGACTCTGCTGTTAATTAGCTCCTAGGTGTGGGCAAATCTCTCTACCTCCCCCAGGCCCCAATTTCCTCCTCCATTAAATGAGGGGATTGTATGAGCTGATTTGTAAGGTCCGCTCTGGCCCCCAGACTCTAAGGCTTTCTTCACGAGAGTTTCTCATTTAGAACTGGCCCGGAAGTGTCCACTTTCTAGCATGGCATTTTAGTTACCGTTGTCCCTTGTAGCCTAAGTGCTTTTGTGGACAAGTGAAGTGGATTTTCATATACTTCAAACAGTGCCCAAAACACATGGTGACTGCCCCACTCAGAGGGAGAAAATATCTTGTTGATGTTTTAGTTCAGTAACAGTTCAAATGATTAATAACGAAGAGTAATAAATAACAACACCTTAGTTCTTACATATCGTCTTTCGTCCAAAGATATCAAAGTGCAATTTAAGAAGATCCATTTTTAATGAAATATTAAGCAGTTTCTATTTCTCCTGACCCAATGGATTTCCAAGGTCTCTATTTTTTCTCCTTGCACTGCCCTATTTATAGCTGGTAAATGCTATCATACATTATACATCTTTATGACTTTTTCAATGCTTCTGTGGTTTCAGAATCACCCTTCATATGTTTTCAGATCAAATTCTCTGAGATGGAACCTTGGCTTCCAGTCCTGGCATTGCAAGGTAAGGGGTTGTGTGCTTGGGAGATGATGCCAGGGGAATTGGTTTTACTCCCTATTCCCTTCCGACTCACTGAATCACTATAGGCCAATCAATAAACCTTAGATACCTTGATTTCTCCTTCAGGAAAATAAAGTCGATAACACGCTTGCAGGTAGACACTAAACACTACCAGCCCTCCCTGCTGGCTCCAGTGCCTGCACGATACCCAGGACAGATATTGGACTGGAAGCCACGTCACAAGCAATAAATAGGTCTTTGTTCAACTGGGGAAGTTCAAGTTCTGAAAGCCACTGACTCTCAAGTCCCACCTCGAGGCCAGGAATTTTCAGGCCATGACTTTGCAGTGAGGAGTCCATATTGCTGAGAAAACTCAGTGGCTTGTCAGCATACGGCATACCCAGATAGACGTATATCAAACGTGGTGATCACATTTTAACATCTGCTTTAAAAGCTGGATGTCACAGATGGTATACAGTTTTGTTAACTTTAAAAGAGAAATGTTAATATGGTTGCTTTCCTGCCCAAAGGAAAACCGGAGGTGTGTTCAAAGTGACCCTAACCTTCTTAAGAGGTGGGGATAGCGTTGATAATGTTGTAATTACTAATATATATATATATATATATATATATATATATATATATATATAAAATAGATAATAAACAAGGCCACACTGTATAGCACAGAGCACTCTACTCAATACTTTGTAATGACCTATATAGGAAAAGAATCTAAAAAAAATAGATATATGTATATGTATAAGTGATTCACTTTGCTATACACCTGAAACTAACACAACATTGTAATTCAACTATACTCCAATAAAAATTTTTAAAAAAAGAAATTAATTACACTATATTTAAAATTCTCTAACAATCAATGAAAACAAAATTAAAACATTCAACTTTGGTTATATTTAACATTTGCTGAATGAGTAATTCTTTTAAAATGGCAGCTAAATACAAAATTGTATCTGATAAAACCCACACATAAAATCTTCAGAGACAACTCATCTTATCTTTCAAGTTGGTACTTTCAATATGTTGAGATACCATGGAATTTATATCATTGACATTCA